ACTTTGCCTTAATATCTACAGTACTTATGAAATCACAAGATTTCATTTCAAAGTTTTTTAATTGCGGTAATTGGAATGGAACAATCAAGTTATAAGCAAAGTACATAAAGCAATATGGCTTACAGTCATGGAAAAATTGAACACAGCCATTCAAAAATGAACAGATTATGTTTGGCACATAAAGAGGTCAGCAGTCTAACATAACTGATGCACAATGAATACAGGAGCTATGTTTTAAATGCAACATTCACCTTTTTGTTTTTTCCTTCTGGTGGCACTGGATGATGGGAGTGATCAGATTCTGGATACCTAGAGAGAAATCCATGGTAAAACCTGTATAAAAACTAAGCCAAAAAAGCTTTCCGGTTATTGGAAGTGATGATGATCAATTACTATGAAGGCCACCTTAAGAGATAAGAGAGAGACAACACCTGTCTATCAGTAATTTTAGGAATTCAGAAACGTGGACCTCTGTTTGGAGATCTCCCTTGACCTGAAGATCTTCCCAAAACATTTCTTAGATATGTTAGATTAATTTTAGCCAGTCCAAGAGCATTTCATATGAGAGAATAGCATTTGTTTCCCAAAAAGCATAAATGTCCTCATCATTTTCTACAGCCAGAGAGATCTATTCCAATGTGATATACACAGCATTTTTTTAAAATCAGTCTTTGACATTAGGTTGAAAATAAAGAATTTGCAAACTGTTTTCCTACGGATGTTTGTTCAATGGCTGTTTTTGCAGACTTTGCCAGCTTGTGATTCAAGATTTTTCAAATCCCAAATTTATAAGTGGCAAGTAGTGACTCATACTGAGTTTTGCAAAGACTATAATTTCAACCTTGTTGTAAACAGGGTTGTTCTATATGTAAACTGCTCCTCTGAATAGATCCTAACACTTACTCTGCTTTCCAGAAACCCTACTTACGCATTACTGAATTAGCTCACAATGCAAAAATCACACGCTATTTCCTATAAGGCCACTACTCTTCATGCAATCAAAATAACTCCCCCTCCCCCCACCCCCAACAACCATTTGGTATATCAAGTTACCCAATTGGAACTGTGAGGTATAGAACAGTATGAATAGTTAGATATCTGTGAGCTACATTACATTACATCCTTGCTATCTGAATGGAATTAAACAGAAACTGTTTGCCATTTTTAATGCAGTTGTTGCATGGGTTGCATGGTGAAAGACAAGGCCTTGGATGACAGCAGTTGTATATGTATTCAATGCGATGTATTCTTGAGGATTACATCCTAGCAAGTTTACATATTTGGCTAATAATATTAATCCCCTCTCAGATTTCCCCACTAAGAAGATTACTGCAACAAACCTACATAATTCTAAACATATGCCAACATAAATTAAAAGTCTTCTTACCAAAAGAGCATGCACGCCCACACATCAAGTAGCTTTGTTGAACAACAGTAAAGAGGAAAAATATTGCAGACAGGTAAATATTTTCAGATGACATTAGTTTCTGTAATTTCATAACCTAATTGTTGGTACATAACCAAATATATGCAGCTGACTATCTTCATTCTTTTTAAACCTTGATAAGTGTGGGTGGTGACTTGAAAATTATTCCAATACACTGGAGGTAGCTTTGAAATAATTGAGTGTGGATCTTGTGCATTTACCAGGGTGGTTTCAGCAAAGATTTGATAAGAGTGTGGAGCTGTCACCAACAGGGAATTGTTTCTTTGTACCTGAAAGGAGGTGAGTTCATTTTATTTTATTTGGATTTCTAAAACAATAGCAAAGGAACGATTTGCACTCTAAAGAAGAAACATATTAGTCGCTGGGAACAGGAATTCTTCCTACTCAGCTCCTGCAAGTCAAAGCTGTAACACACAGCATGGTTCTGGACAGACAGGCAGCAGGAAGCTTGCCAGACAGTGCTTTCAATGGCAAACTATGTGGTTTTAACAGTTACTCTGCTATCCTGAAGCTTGGTTCTTGCCAACCTTCACCTCTCCAGAATTAGGTAAGTAGGGTGTGTTCTTCCAGAGAGAGAGAGAGTGCATAATTCATTCCAGACACAGGGAAGATTCCAGGAAAAGATGGAATGAGTATGTGAAACTCTCAGTCTGGTTTGGATATTCTTAAGCATGGTGATGGGTTTCTGCATGTGTCAGACACTTGGCTGACCAAAAATAAAAGTGCATGGAATTTTATACTAGCTTTCATTTTTACTATTGAAACAAACGTTCATTGAATCATTTAGGCTCTGCAGTAGCTTTCTGAAATACAGGCACTGGCTGACTGTGTCACAAGTATTGGTTTACTGAAAGAATTCTGAAAACCAGGAAGCCTTCACTCTTGGCAGTCTGGTAGCTAGTGATTGAGTGCTTCACTCGGTGCTCAGAAAGCACTGGGTGAGCCTCTCGTGGATATCTCTCACTCAAACGAGTCTACCTCAGTTTCAGCCTTGCCTTGCGATAGAGAGCCCTGCAGGGATGTGGCCTTCCATCTTGGACAGAGGAAATAAAATCTGTATTAGTGATGGTAACTGTTCTTCTTATTGTCCAACCTTATCCCAGGTTGACAGTGGACATGGAGAAATCACGATGCTCAGACAACCCAGGCTGGAGGATATATGGCAATGACAGAAATGCAAGGAAAATAAATGAAAATTGTTTTAAAATATAAATACTAAACATTTTGCAAACAGTATTATTTCCAATGTTATACAAACCTGCGTATTTTTTAAAAAAAGGCCACTACATAAATCCAGCTGGTAATTGCACAAATAATCCACTGTTAACCTCTCTTAACCAAGCTCTCTCAAGCACCCACATTTTATTAGCAAAAATGAATATGACAACAGCATAGAGAAAATACATGCCACTAATTCCTATATGTTTGACTTCAGTACTGTAAAGCAAAAGAATGGTTATAACATCTTAAATGTCATTTTATGTAATAAAAGCAATAGTTTGTTTTTCAAGCAAAATGTGAATTGTCATATGGTACACTTCGGAACTTATAACCTATTTATGTGCGTCTTTTCACACAACATTACAACATTTGCAACTTCCCGCTAAGTGCTGTTTTCTTTCTGGGGTTAGAAATGATGTAAATCTCTCAGAAGACTCTTAAAACTTAAGCAGAACTCCTGACGTGAAAATGCCCCGGAGACAGTCAAAGATATGCTTCAAATATTTGCATTTTAGTGCAATGGGGTGATTTTCAAATTTGGTGGCTGGGAACTTCAGAAAACCATTTTTCAAGATTTATTTTCGGGCAGGTGGATGTCTGACATCTGCAGAAACCCATCACCATACCTAAGAGTATCCAAACCAAGCTAAGAGTTTTTCCTACATGGTGCTGTGTTTCTGCATGGGTTTCCGTCTACTCAATATTGAACATGGGCAATGACCTCTCTCACTGATGAATTCAAGGCTAGCCCATCCTGGCACTCGCGGGTATAATAGGATTCAGCTAATGTCTCAATCGCATTCAGACTGATGTTAGTTCCATTCAGAGCAAAATAAACCCCTGGATTGTTATCCTTGTAAACAAGGGTTATTTTACGTAGCTTATAAGTCCAGCAGCTTTTTCATTATAGTAGGAAGACTGATAATGCCCACACATTGGATCTGGCATTTTCACATGGGGTCTATCATACTTTGATCACTAAATATTCAGGCAATCAACGACTGGAACAGGATGCCAGTAAAGGTGGTAGAGGCCAGAACACTGGACTCATTTAAAAAAAATGCTTGATATAGTGATGGGGGTCAGTAGGTTGGGTGTTTTGCAGAGATGAGATTGGATGGGCCAAAGGGGCTTCTTCATCCAGACCAATCTTGTGATCTTTTCATTACAGCTTTCTCATTATAAAATCATAGCAAAAAGATTGCTATTTTTAGTAATTGGCATATGACAGACCTCAATGTCAGTTCCTACACTAGTGTAATTCATCCACCCAAAAATCCAAATGTAACAAATATTTGAATCTAAATATGAAACATACATCAGAGCAACGTTTATTCGTGTCACGTAATAAAGATATGAAATGATTCTCTGCTACCTTCTTCAGACAAACAAGAGAAAAAGCATAAGTTGGAAGTTATCCTTTTCTTTGCATTTCAGGAATGTTTGTACGTATTAACCAACAACCACTTTTGCCTTAGCCAACACTGCGTGGCTTATATGACCTGTGGAAATGATTTTTCAAATGTAAAACAACCAAGAAATGAAACCAGGGAGGTTTGGTTTTGTGTGGCAAGTGTACATACCAATAGATGATGAATTAGAATTGCATTATTAATGATCTGCAGGTAAAAGCTATGGTGACTATTACAATATATATGATTCTGTTTTAAATGCTGAAACATTTTTTTTAAAAAGTGCAATGGATTTTCAATTTCTTAATAATGTACCTTTTACTTTTCTCATTAGTATGCAGTTTTAAGACAACTTAATAGCAACTGCACTTCACGAATGCAAGATGGTCTTTTGAATATTTCCATAGGCTTCTCTGCTTCGCCGCAGATTTTCATCCAAGTGCAAAACACATTTAAATTCCTGTAATTTACAGTACTTGTCAAAGGACCTTTTTGCAATGCCTGTGACTTTAGTGCATCTAAATGAGTGTTGCTTTGATGTTCTTTTGAGTTCAGCTTCAACCTGGTGATTGTGACTCATCAGATTTCCCTCTTTACAATCTTGTTCAAGGTTCCGGCTAGAAATGTATAACAATCCCAAATGGACATGCAGACATGCAAAGTGCATGAGCTTTAGGTTCTGCTCCTGCCAAAAAGTTAAGGCACTGATTTGATTCCCTATAGTGTAAAAGCAGCATAGCAGATTGACACTGAAACCAAACCTAATATAAATGGAAGTTAATCAGCTTCAGACTACATTCTCTTGCAGCACCTTTACCTTGTGACCTTGTGTTTTTAGGAAAGATATTATCTGGTGACAGTTTAATCTGAGAATTTTTTTCCTTGAAAAAAAGTCTGCTTTTTTGGCTTTGAGTTCAATTGTTTGTTACAGTTCATATTTTCCACTTGATTTCACTTGATGTCTTCGATAACTGACAGTTCTCCACTAGTATACTGAGGGCACAAGCCATTAAGATAAAGACTACCATTTTTTGACAGAGTTGGCAGAGTGTCTCTTTCATCCATCAGGTTGACTGACAATGTTCTTTTGCCTGGAGTTAACTCTTGTGCTTGCTGCCCTCCCATCTCTGAGGACAGTTTCCTTTTGATGGACGTGGCTCTCTGAAGCTTGTCATAAATTTCCACACTCAGTCGCCTGCGAGTCTCTTTGAATTCCGCTGTGACATTGGCCGTCCATTCAGCAGCGTGAGCTCTAATCTCTCCAACCTGGAGAAAAATAATAATAATCTCTGCATTTCATAAAGCACCCAATCACATCTTCGAGACACCTCAAAGTGCTTCACAGGATAAACTGCAAAGTGGGACTGAGGAGTGACTGTGTATTTTTGTGGGTGAATGCAGCAACCGACTTTGCACACGTCAAACAGCAATGGAGTGAATTACCAATTTTATTTGGGGTAGCTGTTGGCCAGGAAATGGGAGAAACTCCCTTCTCTTTTCGAATAGTGCCAAGGGATCTTCCTGGACAGGAACACGGAACCTCATGGAAATTTAATAATAATAATCCTTGCATTTGATACAGCACCCTATCACATCGTTGAGATCACTCAAAGCGCTTCAGAGAAAATACTGTAAAGTGAACTGACTGTATATTTTGTGGGCAAAATGCGGCAGCCAATTGCGCAGCATTGTCCCACAAACAGTCGTGGATTGAGTGACCAAATCTTTTTTTGAAGGGGTTATTACCTCTGAAAAACAATCCGTGAATCAATTAACAACAAGGTTCCTACTTACTGCTGGTAAACAGAAGCATCTGGAGTAAGTAAACTTGCTTAAGGTTTCACCCCATCCCTGAATTGAATTTAATGCCTCATCCGATGGTCGGCACTTCCAATAATGCAGCAAATCCCAGCACTGCATTGGAGTGTCATCTTAGACTATGTGACACTATTACATAAATTGCAATTTCATGCAAGGGAATTGGTTGGTTTTCCAATGTGTACTTGTGTGTGTGTGTGTGTGTGTGTGTGAAAATGGAGGAGGAATGTTCGTTATATGTAATTTAGTTGATCTGCAATCATCCTTTAACAAAACAACTTACATTTGTATAGCGCCTTTTATGTCAGGAGGAAGTGCTTTAGTATAGTTTATAGAATCAATCATGATTGAACAAATAATTTGACAATAACAGAGCCCATATATTCACGGAGATTCTCAGCATGTGCTCTTGTGACTGAGGAGCACAATCGGGACAACATTAGCAGTGTTTCTTATTTAATGCCAGTGCAAATTAATATTGGCACAAACTACAAGTTGGCAGCACAAGACTCCAGGAAAACGATTTCCTCCTTTTTAGATCCTTCCCAAAAACATTTTTTAATCTGAGGCAGGTGATTTATGTTTAATTTCATTTTAAATCATTTCATTTGCAATATGTTTTGACATTAATAGCTATAAATATGTATTAAGAACAACAACTTGCCTTATATAACAGGACTCCACACATGACAGAGTCTCGCGGCACTGTTTTAAACAAATTTAAACTTTCTGTAAGAAATGTGGAAAACCGGCTTTTAATTTAGGACTGAATTTAAGAGTTTTCTAAAATTCTATACCAATACAAATTTTAATGCATTTTAAGGTTTTAACATGAAGGCCATTAGAAACTTTGGGCCTCTGGAGTATGTCTCAAAATAATTTTGCTTTGCCTCAGAATAAGGTTTTGGTCTATCAAAAAGATTAGACCATGAACTGGTTAGTTGCTGAGTCGAAAGAGACTCATTTTATATCTCACGTAACATCATGAGAGACTGATATCTCACTGAGACAGAACAAAGAGAAATTCTTTGAATACTGTTCTTGTTCCTGGCATTCTGCCAACGACAGACTGATACATCAACAGTTCATATAACTTAGGGAGAAGTAAAAACACTACAAATATAAAAAGGGAAAAGCAACTAGTAATAATGAAACCAAGGGCACAAACATAAAAGTATAAATACCACCTTCTAAAATGAACTGCCAAGACTGCAGCCATTTTAAGTGTTTATTACCTATCATATTCACTAAGTTATCAAAACAATGTATGGTAATGTACTATAACTGAAGTACAATTGCAATTGTAAGAGACGTTTAATTGTTCTATCACTTTTGTCAGGAATCTGTTTGTTTTATTTTATTATTTTGCAGAAGTGTTGGTGGATGGGAGTCTTCGATATGTGGGTCAATACAAACAAAAATAATAATAAAATAATCCTTGAATTTTATAATTCATGTCAGGATGATGTCTCAAAGTGTTTCACAGGATATACTATCATAGAGGGCAGTGGCTGTATATTTCTGTATGACAATGACTTTGAAATTGCGGCTGATCCCTGAATCTCCGCTTAGAGAAGTCGGAAAAGAGATTGAGCCCAAACGGAGCCCCAGCTGGTCCATGTGAGGCACATCCGGGTGAATCCAGGATTCACTAAATGAGAATCCTTTGGGTACTAATCGCATATTAGACCTCAAATTGTTCTTATAGTGGAGAAATCCCATTTTAAGTGCACATCATCAATATAATTTAGTTCCAAGAAGAATTTTTAAAATATGTGTTTGATCACAATGCCTCTTGTTCTTGGGCCAGGAAGATGATTTTCAAACTTAAATAAAAGAAAATCAAAAGTAAAGGTGGTGAAGATATCAATAAGAGTGAGACATTCGACTGGTAAAGAGTGACTTGAGTATAAAGGGAAAATGCCATAAGAAGGACCAGCTACCACCGTAGGTAACTTTTCCGATCACTGGAATTTGACCCCAGCTGGTCGCATAGATTTTTTATTTAAAAAGAAAAGTAATATTTAGGCTAAATGAAGGATTGCTCCTTCATATGTTAGTATATAAATTAACATGTAAAGTAACAATGTTAATTCACATATGGTGAATTCTTTGTGTTTTTCACAGTTGTAAAATAGCAATTACCAAACAAATTATACCACTGTGACAATATTCCAATAGTGCTGAATGAAAATATTTTGACTAAATAATTCTGAACATATACCATGTCAGCACAACATTAGTTAATCAAATGTGTTAGTTAGTTATAATTTTGCAAACCACCCAGGTGGGTGAGCCTTCAGCCTCTCTGCCCCCACCCTCTGGAACTCCATCCCACAGTCCCTCCGCCTCGCTCCCTCCAAAACCTGTGTCAAGACCCTCCTCTTTGACCATATCTGCGGTCACCCTCCTACCCCTGCTCTCCATCTCTCCTAATCCCAACCACCAGCTCGGGTTCAGATCCCTGACTGTCCAGCGCCTTGGGTCGTCCTCCTGACGAGAACGACGATACACAAGTGTCATTTTTGTTGCTGTTGTTGATACTGTATCAAATGCTTTACTAAAATTTAAAATATGTACATATAAAATATATATTGCTCAGTCTTGTCCTTGCTCTTTCTGCAACAAGCTCAAATAGATACGCCATGCATAATATCACACCAATAAAACCATGCTTATAATTCTAAATACTGGAGTTGAGTCCTGAAATACTTGAGTCAAAACAAAATCCTAAAATTGCTCACCAATAGAAAATCTGAAGGACCCAACTACTTTTTAAATAGTGGATCATTTGGAATTCTATCATAATTAATATTAAAGCCAGGGCTGTGGAGAGAATGCATGCAAAGAGAATAAATATATTGCATTAATATTTTATGTGTCCTTTGGAATGACAATTTCAGTGAACGGATAATTCAGATTCTACGTAATGACAAAAAAGTAATGCTTTACAATATGAATAAATATGAACATGAATAACATACAATACAATTGACATTTATATTGCGCCTTTCACATGGTTGGGATGTCTCAAAGGGCTTAGCAATGCCAGATGGGCACGCGAGCTCAGGGTGGGAACTGAGAGGAGAAAAGTGACCTAAAGTGTGGTCAAAGAGATGCATTTTGAGACATGCCTTGAATAAGGAGAGGGAGGGAGCGGGCAAGTGAGTTGGAGGGGTTCTGGGATTTCCAGAGAGTGGGAATAGAATGGCTGAAAGCTTGGCTGCCAACAAATAGTGGGATGGACAGGCAGGGGACATGAAGCAGGCCAGTATTCGCTGAGCGATTGTTATTCAATATGAATAACATACTAAATGAATAAAATACTATATGAATAACATACATATATGAAGTACAACACACCTCTTCCTTGGTTTTCTTTGATATGACTCGAAGCCAGTCTCCAATCATGCTCAGAACAGCAGCAAAGTAAGCAAGTCCTACAAGGATCCAGAACCACACCACAGGCTTGTACCAATCTAAATAATCAATAGCGGGGCTCCCTCCTGAAAAAAATATTAAAAGAATATGTTGGGCCAAGCTGTAGCTCATAGATTTTATGACAGAGCAGCAAGCTGAGCCATTGTGTATTGGACAATGTTATCTAGTCTTTAACAAGAGTAAAAAAANCATTTTTGGATCCTGTTTTGCTGCATTCTGCTTTTCTATTTCCCTCATAGTTTCTCTGATAATCCTTTTCGGTAACCTCAATTTCCTTTTGTATGATACCTATTAGTCTACACTACATTTTGCCTGTTTGGTCTTTAGATTGGTTTGATCTCTTCATTCAATAATTTTGATCTTGTCCTTGATATATTTCTCTTTATCTTTACAGAAAAGTACTTTCTTTCTGCCTTTATGTTGGCCTAAAAATTATTTCAAATGTTCCTTGGTTTTATTTCCTAGTTTCTCTTTGATTTTCCCTTCATTGAGCTCTGCTCATAACTTCAATGTTTAATAGTTATCCTTCACCGAAGAACAAATCCGGAAGTTTTTTTATTAGGGACGGAGTGCGTCAAATCAGTTGCAACAGAAAAAAGAGAATTAGGCAAACATTTAAATAATGTAGATATGAAAGTATATAGGCAGAAAAAAGCAGGATTTTTTTGAAATCGAGTAGGATAGAACAAAATTGAGACAATGGGATAAATGTCTTGCTTCTGTGTCGAAATTTGTATGGTCCTATGAGAGGAAAATATTGTATGTGGTGTGATAATTATCACTACAGATAATTAACATTTTGCATACCACTTGCTTTAACCTCTACTTCTATCAGGTGTTTCTGAACAAGATGGTAGCATTTGGAATCTAGCTTTAGCTTTTATTGATGAAGACTGATATGAAAATACAACTGATCTTCTAATAACGTCTTTCTGTAAATTATCTCTTAGAGCACATATCTGGTTTCTAAAATATCGTGCTGCAAATATGATAGTTTCAAAAAAATCCTTTGGATGCTACTTGCTGCAATCGGTACTCTTGATTTTTCTAATATTCCTTTTAGTTTATCCCAAATGCCTTTTCTATGCCTCCTTTTCTAGCATTCACTAATCTTTCTTGTTGAGTGACCAAACAACATGTCAGAAGTGTCACAAATTGTAAGTACAGTTGTATCACCACAATTCTATTTAGACAGAGATGACATCCTCCTACATGGCAATGTCAAGCCAGTTAACCTTGTTGTGCCAGATGAATAGTCAACATTGTTGACACAGTCAACTTTTTTTTGTAAAGTGGCAGCATATTCTATTTCAGAGTATAGAAATCTGTACATATTCATTTCAAAGGACAGTATTTAATTAGAATGTATTCAACAACTGAGTAGAGCCTCAGCCTGGCTCAGTTGGTGTCAGGCTAGCTATCACTCTCCCTTCTGAGCTGGAAGGGTATGGGTACAAACCCTATATCAGGACATTGAGCTCAGAGTCCAGGCTGACTCTTCAGGGCAGCATTGAGGAATATAACAAATCATCATGTCGTCGAATCACCTCAAAGCACTTTACAGGATTTACTGTAAAGTGTACAGACTGTGTATTTGTAGACAAATGCATCAGCCAATTTGTACACAGCAATGTCACAAAATCAGCCTTGAAGTGAATGACCAATGTTATCTGGGGGATTGTTGGCCAGGACACTGAAGAAGAATCTTCTACAAGAGAACATGGCCACTTTGTTTATTTTACATGTGTTATTGGTGGCAGAGCTGCTATTAGTTACAACATAGCAAATCAAACAAATGACTTAATTACTTTACACTGTATCAGCAAATTAATCTTCACTCATCTTACTTAGAAGGATAGGTTTTTAATTGACAATAATTCACAGAAAATAGAAACAGCGTAGTCTAATCACCCAAAACAATCTCCAGGATACTCAGCAGTCTTCATTCTACATGAACAATACCAGCTATCACTTTATCAAATAATTCTCTCAGTTGCCGAAAGAGCCAAATATGTTAGTTTTATTTCATCAAGATCACCCTTTCCATGGAACGTTCGTGTAGTCCTACTAGGTTCCTACCAAGGCTGAGTGGTTAAACCTGTGAGAAGAGACTGGGGGAACTTGGTCTGTTTTCGATGGAACACAGAAGGATGAGGGTATTTAAAGTTCTGAGTGTTTTAAAAGAGTAGAAATTATTTCTACTGGTGATTGATAAGAGGACATCAATTTAAGTTAATTAACAATGAAGCAACAAGGAGATTAAGAGGATTTCCTTTAAACAAAGAGTTGATAAGATGTGGAATGGCCAGTCAGCAGCAGCAGTGAAGCAAGATACTTTTTAGTTTTCAAGAGGAAACTAGATAGAAATATAAAAAGTAGTAATTTGCAGGTGAATAAGGAAAAAGCAGGTAAATGGGATGGAATGCATTGCTCTTTCAAAGAGAACAGCACAGGCACGAGGGAATGAACGTGTTTCTTTCCTCTAAAATTCTATGGTTCCATCACTCTTTCCATGTGCGTTTAAGCAAGTGTCACCTCCAGACATCGTTCTTCATTATTTCACGTTGTATTTTGTGGAGTAACTTCACTCATGCAAAAGAACGTGGCAAAGCTCTACCTCCTACAGCAATAGCCAAACACTTGTTTAATTTGAGAAAATAGGCAGCATTGAGACTGAGGAGCAAAGAGCGGAGACAGTGCTTACCAAGGTGAAACACAAATAATTAATTCATCAGAAGGTCATTTTAGAATTCCCGTGAAACATTTTAGGGGGATTCAAAATTAGTCATTTTAAATAAGAGTATCCAAGTTAATGATGCTTCATAACGCTTTAGATTTGATGACTATCAGCTCCAGAATATTGTAAATCTAATTTATCCCCCATATTGTGTGTCCATAAATTATTCTACGATATCCATGTTTAAAGGACCATTGATATTGGAAGCGAAATGCACCAATTGCAGGCTAGCCTGGTATAAGGGTTATGGTTTAGCATGGGTCCAATTAAAGCAGGGATGTACAAGGTGACCAAAAAGTCATAATACAATTAAAATGTCCAATAAGTCTTAAATAAATGATATTTTTTGTTTAGATAATAGGGTAGCTTCACAACGTTTTAGTCACCCTGTAATATGGTGCTATACCAGAAACACAGTACATGCATCTTCCAAGTGCTGACTTGCAATCTGCAACAGGTTGCCAGGAAAGGTAATTGAGGCCAGGACACTGGACTCATTTAAAAAGTTGCCTGATGTGTGATGGGGGGATGGTAGAGTGGGTGTTCTGGAAGAATGAGATTAGTTTGTGTGAAGAAGGTCCCCTTGGCCTATCCAATCTTGTGACCTTGTGAAGCTTCCCTGCTAAAAAAATACATCTTCCAAGTCCTCAGATAGCCATTGATGTTATTTTTCTGCACACCACACATACGCACAATGCCTAGGAAGTTATGCTAGTGGCAATCTGACAACCCCAGAATTTTGGCCAATTTTCCTCAGTTCAATTCAAGTTGGGGTCTAAGTTTATGGACACAATCCATCAAGTCAGAATCAGGTTCCATTGTACCAATATGCGCCCTGGTGATAGACTGGGAAAAATACAGGCAATGTTATTTCATAATCAGTTGATACAAATAGTCTTACCTGCCACATAATCACCGAATCCAATTGTTGTCAAGGTGATCACTACAAAGTAAATAGACTCCAGTGTTGTCCAACCTTCTATGTGCTTAAATATGATGGCAGGGATTGCTACAAACAGCAGGCAGCCGAACAGGATGAATATAACTGTGGAAATCACACGGATTTTGGTTTGGCTGATTTGCCACTTCTGAAAAAGAGAAACAGAACAAAAAAAAGTCTAAAAAACATAATTATTTCTTCCTATTCTCTGTCCTCTATAGGTGTCTGCTCACATTTTATAGTAATTCCAGTAAGACTTCAGAGTGGGCCATTTATACTCCATTATTTCTGCTGCGCATCCAGCTTAAAGCAACCACCAGCTGGAAACCCACAAGATAAGCAAGGTAATAGCAAAGGCATTAACCAGATAATGGTGAATATGGAACTGCAAACCTACGGACACAATAGATGGAAACATGCTCATACAAAGCTGTCATACAATTGTTAGGATGCAATATTCTCCACTTTGGGAATGGTATATTCTAAACAGCCAAATTGTAACTTTAGCTGAAATATTGACTTTTCACAATGTGACAGCGACTTGTTTCTCAAAACATAATAAGCTTTCTAAGATTTTTTTTAGCTCAACTTTCTCCACAGGTTAATTTCAGTTATTTTTCTCTTTTTTTAAGATGAAACAGAGAGGAAACTTTGACATTGTTTTGTCTATAGAATGTGAAAAACGTATTCACATTCTATCAAACTCAAAGAATTGCTCTCAAATTCAAAAGAATTCAATGCACAAACTTGCCTAAAGGAATGGTACTCCACTAGTTGTTAAAGGAATCAACCTTGGTGACTTTCCTCTATTATAAGGGCAAGCAGGCAAAATTAGTCATATTACCAACCAGCAGAATTTCACCTTATTGTTTGTTGGAGCAAAGCTACATTTCTCAATGTATTGCCAGAGAATGTAGAGTGTACAGTCACCGTAAGTTGTTTAATGATTCAAATCAGATACAGGTGCCAGCATCCAGATCAGTTCACGAGTTAACAGGTGAAACACAAAACGACACTAACCAAAACATCAACAATCATGGATTGGACACTCATCCCGCATTCAACCACCAGAAACTCAAGAATTAAACAACAAGGATTCCTTTAGAATAAAATCTTTCTTCCTGTGGCTCCAGCCACAATAGAATTCACATTGCTCATCATAGCAGCAGGGTACTAATAGCAAGTGTTGTAAAATAATGTACTGATGGGTTTTGCAAACAGATTGTCTAACACAAATGAGAATCAAAACAAAGTCATTGAAAATTACCCACTTCTCAGTCAAAGTTTTATTGTTTATTTGGCAAGTTTTAGAAATCACGATGGGATGAAATAATGCAGACTTCTAGATTTCCAAATATCTTTGAATTTTAGTATTAAAAAGGATAAAGTAAAAGGGAAAGAAACTTATGTTCACTAATTTAGCAAACTGTACTGGAAAAACTACCTGGACTTTGGGACATCAATCTTTGGGTGTGTTGAAAGCTTACAACAAGAAGTTGCTTTTATGTAGTGTCTTAGAGCACTTAGCAATTCTGTAGTTTAAGACTGAGCTGGGAATAAAGGCGAGGTGACACTAGGTATGGTCAAAGAGGCGTACATTCAAAACCATAGATCTGAAGCAATGTCCCCAGCACAGTTACCTTAAGGGAGGTCAATGTTCTTTTTGATTCTTGCTGAATAATACTGACTGTGCCAAATCAATTGTATCTAGTTTTTTTTNCTCTCCTCGAGATAAGATGCAGGTTTGCAGCTCCAAGTTAAAATAAAAAGGAATAAACGAGCATCAAACAAGTGCATAAGGTGTGGATCAGGGAAAATGAACACAACCCTCTCCTCCTCCCATCACAGCATCACGCTGTGTTTATAAGTCACTAATTACTCTCTGAGCAATGGCCATTGGTGGAGGAATATCCCATCGTTAGGAAAAAAATAGTCAGTAGCACTGGTCTCACCTTGGATCAATGTCAGTCAGTGACAGATAGAAAGAATGACAATGGCAGCGATAATAAGGTACAAATGTGTGGCTCACGAAAGCAGAAAGGGCAATAATTTATTTTTATTTTCGGAAAACTACTTTTAAAAACAAAATGAAAAGTCATCTTAATAGCATGATAATACCTCTTTGCCCACACTTTCAGTCCTCTTTCTCTTCCCCACTCCCCTCGGATCATACCCCCAGGTCCTGTGTCAAACCATAATTATTAAGAGCCTATGGGCATCCTTCAAATGTGAAAAGAGCTACATAAATGTAAACTTGTATCTTATATGCAATTTCCTGATTTTTTGGCACATTTCCAATGCTGTACAATAAATTATTTTGGTATCCCTTGGATTTAATATGGCTTAACATGATCATGCTTTATATGTAACAAACATGTGTACCTGCAAACGTTCAACTCTGAACTTTGAATGGTGCTTAGAACCAGGCCTGAGACTCGGTTTCTTCTCATATTTTCTTATATCGAGACTGTGGTGGAAATGTGCAGTTTGGTAGGTTGCATTGGATGTGGATGAGGAAGACTTTGAGAAGGGTTCAAGACAAATAAGAGTAAAAGACAGGTCAGCATTTCAGTGGCTGGTATGGCCAAATTGAATTCAAGATGTTGACGTTTTACCTTAAACCATGCACTTCTGTTGTCAATTTTGTTTTGAGCATATCAAAATTCACATTATTCAGAGCAAACGATTTTACGTAGAATTCAGAAAATTTTATTTGGGATTTAAAAGATAAAATGGAAGGAATATTCTCGTTTTTATCAAGTTTAAGTTGGACTTTTCTCTGAAATACTTCTCCCCAACCTCCCTCCTCCCTTCCCAGATTCACCTTGACTTGTAGGGAAGGATATGTGAGCTTTCATTTCTACACTTAGACCAGCTTTTCGCAGTTCAATTTTAAAACCTATCGAATAAAAGAACCTTTAATATCGTTGAAAAAATGTCTGCATCATATAATCCAAATATAATAATAGGCTGCTTCCAGTGGTTCAGTGGAACAGAATCATACAGACTAGAAAGATAGCAGATTCCTAGTTTCTTGGCTGAGTTAGACATTTCAGCTGGATTCATGGGAGGGGTGGGTGGCGGAGTACTGTTACAATCTGCTTGAGCAATCTTGGATTACGAGGGGGCAGAATAGGACAGATTTAACACCAAGCATTTTCCCTGATGGAAAATTTGTGCTAATGGATAATGGGTCAGAGCAGGTTCACATTCAGTTGTCCACCTCTCCACCCCCACTCATATGGTTTAAAAAGTTCCCACCAATAATTCCTTGACCATGTGCCAATGTGAAAAATGGATAGATGCTGACACTTGCAGAACCAAAAAACAACCTAATTCAATACCTTTAGGAGATTTGCTCTATATTTTGTGAGCGAAATGCAGCAGCCAATTGCGTACAGCAGCGTCCCACAAACAGTCGTGGATTGAGTGACTGAAAGATTATTACTAACCATTAGTGATCCGCCAAACGACTAATAACCAGTGACCAGCTAGGGACCATACTCAGTGCTAGGTAAACAGAGACGTGTAGCATGCATGAAATTAAACTGCAATGGGTAAAAATTCCCAGCTTTTGTAGCTTGTTTCTTTCCTTTGACATCGATGATTTACTACCTTTGCAGAACATCTGATGAGTCCACCAAGTTATCCACAAGCTGCAAATGCTTTCTCATACATTTTGTCCACCCACTTCTTCTGGTAGCAGCTTGTGCACTAAAGAACCATATGGTGTAAGCTAATTGTAATAAATCAACTACAACTTAAAAATCGTACTCGCATCATGAACGCTGCATTAAAAATGATGAATTGTTATCATTTTTAAAAGATAGCTGATGTTTGGTTGCTCAATTGAAGTCCAATTTTTTTCAAGAGTCTAAAACCTAAAGGGATTAAAAACACTTATGGTTCGGCACTTTGGTAAATTATTGACATGTTCCCTTTTTATGTTTAGCAAATTGTTCTGTTCCAGCATTCAAAAGGATTCATCGTATTTATCCAACGAAAAGCTGAAACAAGCAGACTGGAAAGGTCCCAGGTTCAATCTCTAGTCTATTTTGAGTTTGCTGATAAGCTGCCATGGAGGCACGTGACTATTCTCGGTGGTCAGGTTAGGGAAAGAGAACTCAGCCAGTCCTCACCCTCCAGTTGATTGCTACTTAGGACTAGATTGGGTTCAGCTTTATTAACCCAGTGGGAAATGAACTGCTGGAACTCACTGCCAAGCTCACATACCAATTGGCGAGGTACAGCAGGGTGCCTGACCCCGGTGGAACGCCAGCCAAATATCTTTGGACAAGGAAGGTGAGCAGAGAAATGTTGTTTGTAGAAATTGAAAAGCCATTGCAAGTTTGAGAAGGAAGTACATGCTCTGCAAAACACCTTGCAAATTCAGAGTTAATGCTGAAATTGAAGGAGATTTGAAAATGTATTGCTACAGCTTATGAATTATAAAATATGCAATTGTTTTATATACATTTGTTGTGTAGCACAATGCGTAACACATGAGACTTACAAGAAATACATCTTCCACTTTAGCAATTCCTTTTCCAAATATGGTCCCTAGTTGGTCACCAACACCAGCTAGCAGAAACCCAAACAGTGGGATTCCTAACAAAGCGTAAATAATGCAGAATATTTTTCCGCCTTCAGTACTCGGAGACACGTTGCCAAATCCTAGGACAAAAACAAAATCAAACCAAATAAAATTAAAAGTAATTGAATAGATACATTAAACATACAATACAGTTTACAACAGTTTACAATTGTGGCTTAACATTTACTGCAATTTAAACCTCTGGAATCATCAGCATGAACAGGGCATATTCACAGCAAGGAAGCAATGAGCAACCTATTCGAGCAGTTCTAACTGCTTCTTGAATTGCAGCTTGTTTACAAAGTCGAGTAAATGACTAACCACAAGGGAAGAAATCAGCAAGATTCTAATAAATTAACAAACTCTCATTGTTGAATGTTCCAAGGAGGAAATTGGTTCATTCCCTTCCTTTTTCCTGGGTTTCTATAGTGGAGGCCCAAAATTCCACTAAGTCAGTAATGCCATAATGTCTTAAAATGTTAAGATCTTCCACAATTTTAGAAAAGCCTTCAATTCAGTCTTAATCTCCAAACAACTGTTTTTAAAAAGAATCGAATTTAAGACTGAATTGAAGAATTCACTCAAAACCTACCCCGTCCATCCATCAAACTATCCAGTCTATGTATCATATCCTAAGATAAACAAAATCTATAGAATATTTATCCATCCCCATACATCTACTATTTAAGCTCAGCCTCCTTTGCCTCCACAAACAACACCACTCCTTCCCCTTCCCCTCTGTGCCCAGAAATATTGGCATATTTGTTTCAGTTTACATTTATCGCCTTATCTTCCATTACTTACAAACTACATTTTAAAATTTTAATTTAAATCCAGCTGGAATGCTCTGAATATATGAGTTTGATCATTTCATCCTAACTTGAATCTAGAATTATTTATTTTATTAGCTGGAACTTTTGCTGTGAGTATTGAAATCAAAATTATTATCATGAAAACATATGGTGATATCCTACCTATTGACGCGACTCATCCCTTTTTATGCCCTTATAAAAAAAATCTAATTGAAAAGAAGTGACATAATGATAATCACTGGGCTTTCGCCCCCCACCGCGTTCCCCACCATTTGTTGCCAACCTTTCATCAGTTTTCAATTTGGAAGCAAGTGGTACTATTGCCTGGAGTTTATTATTACACACACAAGAGCAGTAAGTCATTGTAAAACTGGGTGATAATCTACCAGCCAGTGAAAAATACAGCTTTATTGAAGGTTGATGTTTATCAAGTTTGGCATTTCAAAGTTAGTCAGTAGACAATTTATGATGCAAAGACAGACATTATACAATACAAAATTATATTTGTGTATCGCACCTTTCACGTCGGGAGGATGTCCCAAGGCGGTGGTCAGGGGTTTGGATCCGAGCGAGGTGGTGGGTGTGGGGGGAATTGGGATCAGGGAGAGTGGAGGCCAGGGAGGGTGTAGAGTAGCCAAAGGTGGTTCAAAGAGGAGGGTCTTGAGACGTGCCTTGAAGGAGGCAAGGGAGGAAGCGAGGCAAATGGTCTGTGGGATGGAGTTCCAAAGGGTGGCGGCAGAGAGCTGAAGACTCAACCGCCACTGGTGGGGCAGGTCGGGTGGGGAACATGGAGATGGCCAGAGCCTGTTGAGTGGAGGGAGCAGACTGGTTGATATGGGGTTAGCAGGTCACAGATGTAGGAAGGAGCAAGGCCGTGGTGGGCCTTGAAGGTGAGGACTCTATCCTCTGGGGCATGGGGAGCCAGTGGAGTCGGGCGAGGGTGGGGGTGATAGGGTCACAGAGCCTGGTGTGGGAGAGGACACGAGCTACAGAGTGCTGGATAATCTGCAGTTTGTCGAGGGAAGAGTTGGGAAAGCCAACAAGCAGGGAGTTGGCGTAGTTGAGACGTGATTAATGTATGGATGAGTGTTTCGGCCACCTGAGGGGTGAGGCAGTGGCAGATTCGGGCAATGTTGAGGAGGTGGGGCAAGGCAGAGAGTGTCATGACACAGCATAATTATAGATTATAGGATGTATCAGTAAGATGATTCAAGTATGCCTGTGTCTATGTGTGTCAGTATCTGACTGGCTCAGGTGGTCCACGGGTCCAATATGTTTAAAAGTAATTGTGTGAGACCCAGATTGTATGGGAAGGATAATAACCATTTAATTTTTCCATAGAGCTCTTCATATTTCAAACAAATCTGCCAGCAGCACGTTTGACCATTTTGCTAATCCTGCAATATATTAATCACAGGAGCCTCTGGAGATCCCACTCTCGTGCAAATCTCTCCTAGGTGGCCACAATCCCTGAAAGATGAATGTTGAGCTTTGTTGTAAATCTCTTACCTATGGTGGTAATAACTGTGCCAGCGAAGAAGAAGGAGCTGCCTAAGTCCCAGTGGCTGGTCTGGTTGGAAGAATTTCCTGCTGGATTAACACCTGCACTTATAGCTTCCACAACGTTCTGTGAATTTCAAAAGAACAATGGTAAGTTTTCAAAAGCAGCCGTGCAGGAGCAGTAAGACATGATTAGTATTCTAACCGGCGAAGTTAAATACTCACGCAGGAAATCTTCAAGAATGCTACGAGAGTTAGCAGTAGATTTGTAGCCTCAGCAATAGACCTCAATATTCTCCTCTGGAAGAGGAGTCTTACCCCCTACAAGTGCTACAGTCTTGTCTTCGTATGGATACACTTACATGTTGCCTCGTACTATTGATTGCATTAGTTTTCCAATATCTTAAGTCAGGCTAAAAGGTCTCTAATTGTAAGACTTGAATACAGCAATTACATTTGTCTGCTTCTAGTCTGTCAGAACCACTCGTGTTCACTGACTCTCTTCAGAAGACCAAATCTCCACTTGGGCGTCTCTAACCACCCTGCGGATAATTTATATGTCCCGGGAAATTTTAATTTTCAGGCCCACTCATGTCAGAGCATATGTGATTGTGCTGCATTCTTTCAGATTGCAGGTATATGAGCTAAAAATGCAGCATTTCTTGTCAAAAGTTCCAAGAGACTTTTAATTCCCAGGGTATGTTGGTCCCAGCCCAGCAAAGCTAGAAGCATGTTTCTCTCAAGGATTAAATATTTATGAAATATTCATGCTTGAGAGAAACATGAAATATTCATCCACTGAGACATAGTTCATATTAACACTAACTAAAATGGATTTCTTTAGCACCCAGTCCATTGGTTGTTAAAGTCTGTTAGCACAGACTTAACGTTGGGATAATATTTTTCAGTATATCTGTGATCAGCAGGCATCTAAGTTAACTTTGGTAAGAACTAAATAAATGCTGGTCTTATTAATCTAAATTAATTAGTGGTCACAACTATCTGTTTTAAATTGTTATGAATTAAAATTTCCAGGACTCATTCAAATATGCAAATGATTACATTTAGGAGCTGTGTTACATGTGGTACGACTAAAGGAGAGCAGCATTTGAATCTTGGAAATAAATTGCAATCGGAACAAATAATGGGCAAAACAAAATTTACAAATAATCAGGAAGAATCATTATTTTTCCAATTCTGCTTAGTGCTTCTCATTCTCCTCGCCTTTCTATGTTTCTATGTCTAATTGCTCCTCATTCCTCACCTCTCTGTATTTCCCTGATCATTGTTCTTATTCTTTGATGTCTCCTGGTGCTTGCTTCAGCAGTAATGTCGCTTATGCCGCTTCCATCCCTGAGTTCATCTTCCTACCTGATGTGCGTTGATCCTCTTTGCGGTAATTCAATGTATGACCACAATATAAAGCACTGGTACAAGGTAATGCATGTGACAATAGTAGGATTGATGTCATGGTTCTTTGGGGGATCTTGGCTGTTGTATTGCTTACCCAAACAGTCACTACATTTATTAACACTTATTGGTTTGGGACTTTTTTGGGGGGGCGGGGCAGCAGGGTGTCTGACACATGCAGAAACCATCACGATGCTTAAGAGTATCCAAATCAAGATAAGAATTCCATGCTTTGAGATGTTTTGACTCGATATGGTGCATTAAAAATTCAAGTTATTTATTATTTGTTGTTTTGGTGTTTGGATGTCCATCAAAACCAACTTTACTCTTGCAGTTTATTAATAATAATAACTTGCATTTGATACAGTGTCTCTCCTATCAGGAAGATGTCTCAAAGTGTTTCACAGGCTTTACTGTATATTGTGGTGCTTCACCCATGGCCTAGACATCTCTGGTCTGTCCATTACAGACAAAGCCATCTCTGGCCACTTCTTCATCTCCCTCTCCTCCCATATCTCTTGAGACATCTTCCTGATAGGAAAGACACGGTATCAAATGCAAGTTATTATTATAACTGCCCCGCCCTCCTCCAACATCTAATTCCACCCTTCGAAAAAGCTTCCGCCCAAGTCCCTCACAAACGCTTGTTCATCCTTGGACCTTCTCTCCCACTGGACTTCCACCTGCTGGGATCCTGATGCAGCTGTCAAGCTGCTAAACGATCATCTATCTGAAACCTCAACTCCCTTGCCCCCCCGGAAATCCAGGGCTGTCTCCAAACCTCCCCACCCCCCTGGTATAACAGTCACTTCCGCTCCCTCAAAACAAAAACCCAGATGCTCGAGCGCAGATGACACAAATCCCCGGCCTCACAATTCACTGCCAGCTGTGGCTCGAGTATCTCCGCAGCTATTCCTCACCTGTCGCAGGCCAAAACTGCTTTTTACTCCAAAATCATTTTGGAGGCCAAAAAACATCCATTACCTCCTCCCACCCCCCACCACCCCGCCAAGCTGCTTCCATCCTCACTTCTAACACCAAATGAGTCTGGACTTCTTCGTGTCTGAAAATATCCGCTTGGCTGAATCCTCCTCCCCTACGTCCCCTTCTGCACTCCCCAGACCATCTACCCCACGCCCTCTTTCCACCACGACTCCTACCACTCATGCACTGTTAACATGCCAATTTAACATACCCTCCTTTGCCCTGTGTTTTAAAAGCCATTCATTCTTAGGTGCACGCCTGCAGTTCTTTCCCAACCCCAAATGTGAGAGTGAAAAACAAGGACTCAGTTTCCTCTCCAGATCACTCTAAGACAGGAAGAAATGCCACATTGCTTCCAGCAATACAAACTGGATGTAAAGTCCAATGATATAATTAACATTAAATTTAATAATACCGTACATCAAAGTTATCATTTTGTAATGGTGTTACCAAGAATGGGGTAATGAATGTCAGGACAATCTTTGGCTTGATTTGTGCTGGCTTTCATTCCGTGCGTTATGAAGTCTACGCAGCACCAACACAGAAAGCCACGGATCAATTTCAAGTGTATTAAAATTATAAGGTGCACGCACAGTGCAGTATGGTGACCTGTAGATTTACTTCACGCTCGATTCAGTTCACAAAATAAGGCACCATCATGTGAGAAATAGAAATATCAATACTGTTTATTTCTTAATGCAGTGATACTCAGTATCAAGATAAAACACATTATTTTGACTTTCTGTGCATCTTGCACTTTGTTTCTAGATCTAAAGGGTATGAGTTCAAACCCTTTGTTGGGATTTGATCTGTCTATATCTAGGCTGCATTACTTGGTGAGTGCTACTTTGTCGGAGATGCAATCCTTTGGATGACACGTTAACTGAGTTCCCGTGCCTGCTCAGGTAGACATTAAAGATGACAACACACTATTTGTAAGGAGAAGAAAGTCTCTCCTGGTGTCCTGGCCACCAATTCTCCAGATAAATTGGTCATTCATTTTATGGTTATTTGTGGGTCCTTGCAAACTGATTGCTGTTTATACCTACAAAAGCAATCGTTTCACAGCTCACTAATTAAGTGTTAAATGCTTTGAAATGTTTTGACATGATAGAGTATGAACTTCTGATAACTTGCCACTCCAAGGGAAAAGGGCTCAATGATGTGCTATCCAGATTGGCAAGTTAGGCATATGTATAAATGTATAAATATTGACAGCATGTTGATTGAAGTACTAGATAAATTAAGCCAGGGTCGAGTTATCAGGAATTTACTGCAGTCCTTATTAACGAATGCAAAGATTATTATAATGAATAATAATAATCCTTGCATTTGATATAGCGCTTTTCATGTTTTCTAGACGTCTCAAAGCACTTCACAGAATATACCGTAAAGTGAATTCACTATATTTGTGGGCAAATAATAATCAAGTTGAAGGATAGAAGTGGGAAATGGGATACTTTTCCTTTTTAAGGGCACAAAGTATATTTCATACAAGGTGCTTGACATTGCTATGTACAAAACTCCAGCAGCTATTTCTCACATGAATGGAGAATACCTTGAATGTTTTAAAAGTTCTTCCTCAATAACAGTCAGAAAGAGCACACAAATCACTTGCATTGAACAAATAACCTGATCATCAGGTGTATTCGAAATAGAAGCTGCAAGCTAAGATTGTAATAAAATGAAAGCACTGATCTTAATGGTGCTTTATTTCAGAAAATTTATGCACTTAATCTATTCGGATTATAGAGGATGGTGCCTGAGGGGAGAATGGAGTATGCCTCAGACAGATCATGCTTGCTCACTGATTTCTCCTTGCAGAGATGAATCTTTCAGTGAAAGGCTGTTCGACGCTCCTGTGTGGTTAAATATTTCATGAGAAGCAGGTACATTGAGCTGATGTTAACCATGGGTGTCAGTATACTTTTCACACCAAGTGGATACCTGGGCTCCACAACTAATTTTCCAATGCGGTCTGGACAACTTTTCAAGCGTTTACACCTATTGCCTCGGCCACTCTCCAGAAAATGCCATTGGGTAGAACTAATTACAGATAATCCCTCAGAATGTTGAGCCCACAGATCTGATGTTAGTTAAAGCCCAGATTTAGACACAGATAACATTCAGGAGGCTTGATCCCCTTCCTTTAGCACAGACGCAGGCACAACATCCGAGAAGCGCCATTGAACCATATAATTTGGCAACACAGAAGGTGTCCATTTGGACCATCGTGCCTGTGTTGCCTCTCTGTAATTGGTCTGTTTAGTCCCAATCTTCTCCCCGTAGTTGTTTATATTTTTTCCTTTTCAGATGTTTATCTATTATAGATTCTGGTTCAATAACTATTTTGTGAATAGTTATTGAACCAGTAACTATTCACAAAATAGCAATAACATTTCATGTCCTAATAACCCTCTATGTGAGTACAAAAAATGATTCTCCGAACCACTCCTTTGTTTTTTTCATTAGTATTATCTTTAATTAAGATCCCCTGCACGAAACAGACTCAAACAAATATAATACTTACATAACCCACGTGAGAACTTACTTACTGAAGTAGAAAGTTCAGCGCAAAAAGTCAATAAACCTTGACATAAACATGTCAACAGATATCATATAAGCAAAAGATGCAAATTTTTTTTACAAAAATACTATGAAACAGGAGAATTAGCTCAAAGGCAGACATATTTCATCAGCGTATCCCACAAGATGAAAATTCACTCAAACAGA